AGTTTAGTTTAAAAGTTCTAGACCAGTAGTATTTGGTTAAAACTGTCGTGGTGTTATCTGAAACTGAGAAAGTTTAAGCTCAGTTGTATGACCAGTCAAGGAAGAGGTTATCAGATTCTCATGATGGACACTGAAGACATAGCTAAGTCAAACCTTATATGGAATAGAAGAAGTATTCTCTCTAGATTTTGTATATTGTAATGGGATGCTGTTGAGATTAATGGGATGGTACTTTTACTGTGTGTTTTGCAATCGTTAAACGTGTGCTGTATGTAAATAGTCTGCCTTATTCTCTGTGTCTTCATTTCTTTTCATTTTAAGTTTCTGTTTTAGTGTGAAAACAAAATGTGCAGCATTGCATGTTTGAATCAGTTCAAGACCTTCTTGTTAAATTAGAAGCTCAAAATATCAAGTCAAGTTTCAGTCTGCAATCCAACCTGTCCATAATAAAATTAGCTGGGATTATAACACTATACTTTCACCAATGCTGCTGTCAGAGATAGTAAATTAACACAAATTGCCCACCATTTACGTTCCAATTCCCCAACCATGGTGAGAGTGCTTTCACTCACTGTTGCATCACAGCAGATATGTTTGAACTCTCGCACTCGGGGGAAAGGGGAAAACTTGAGTCCCATTATCACAACATTCTCGCATGTTGCTTTCCACAGATGCTGTTTCCTTGTTTAAATCCATTGCCAAATATCCAAACTGTGTAATGGTGCTTTGTTACAATATTTTGTGTAATGTAGCTTACTTTAGACTATACATAACAGTATTTTTTAAAAAAGTTTACCACAATGTTACATTGTATAGAATTTACAGCATAGAAACAGCCCTTTGGCTAGACAGGGGAGGAACAGAGACGGATAGTGGTGAGGAAGAATTGGATGCAGTCAATGTACCTGTGAAAACTGGCACTGTGTTTTTGGACGTTGATGAGGGGATGAAAGCAACTGAGAAATGAGAAAGAAGTCAAGGTTAGTTCTTTGGGGGATACCAGAGGTAATGGGAGCAAGACAAGAAATCATTATCCTTTGATTACATTTAGATGAATGAAAATGGAATCTGGTGAGGTTGGTTCCACCCAGCTGGATGACAAGGAGATGCAGTGCAAGAAGGTGGTATGGGTAGCAGACAGATTGATAAGGACGAGGAGGAATAACTTAGAGATAATAGATCAAGCACACTACATACAGACACAGAGTAAAGTCCATCTAATTTTCCTCATTATGCCAATTACTTAGTAAGATAGTAATAAATTAACAGCAATTTGGTGCAGAATCTATCTAGCTAGAACTGGATTAAGACTAACCAGGCACTAATCACTATCAGTAACAGACAGACGCTCACTCCATCGACCTGATGTTCCATAACAGTAGTGAGACAAGCAACTGATTGTCAGTGGGTTTCCTTGGTGGTGCTTGTTGAAACAGAACACTGGCCAAGATACTAGAAAAACTCTCTTCAATTCTGAATACACCATACGAATTTGGTCATTGACAATAATCGGGGCAATAGTAGGCAGATCTCAGATTAAAACTTTGTTTTTTTTTAATTAAGAGCCAACATGCACCAATCCTTTAGCATTGCACTGGTTTGTTTGCCTCGATTGAAAGCTCAGTTCCTGGTATGAGGCTCAAATGACATCCTTGCTCTCAAGGAAGATGGCA